TTACATCCTGCAACACCTTGACTCCCCAGGGACCTATGCACGGGTCCTCTTTGTGGACTTCAGCTCAGCATTCAACACCATCATCCCAGACATCCTCCACTCCAAACTGACCCAGCTCACTGTGCCTGCCCCCACCTGTCAGTGGATTACCAGCTTTCTGACAGACAGGAAGCAGCAGGTGAGGCCGGGGAAAACCACATCCAGCACTCGGACAATAAGCACAGGTGCCCCCCAGGGATGTGTGCTCTCCCCTCTGCTGTTTTCACTCTACACCAACGACTGCATCTCGAAGGACCCCTCTGTCAAGATGGTAAATGGACTGTATTTTATATAGCGCTTTCTCACAGTGTGTTGCACTGGCCAAAGCGCTTTACAGGAGATCATACACCATTCACCCATTCACACACAACAGTCACACACCGATGACGACAGGCTCCCACGCACCAGCGCTAGTCAAGCCACCGGGAGCAATTCGGGATTCAGTGCCTTGCTCAGGGACACTTAGGCATGCGGAGAGACCGGGAGTCGAACCACCAACTTGCTGGTCAGGAGACGACTGCCCTACCTCATGACCCACAGCCACCCACAAGATCGGTTCAGTGTCTTGCCCAAGGACACTTCGACACGTGCACAGCCGGCACCGAGATTCAAATCTTCAAACGTCTGGTTGGGAGACGACTGCTCTACATGTAACTGTCACCTCCCCATTACAAGTTAGTTCTTAAACCAAAAACAATGCACAAAGCTAAAGACAACAGTTAAAAATGTGTCATCTTTGATCTGACATTAAACACAGTCCAAAAAACATCAGAAAGACAATTGATAAATTGGAGATAAGGTCTTCAGTTTTTGCTGAATGCTTCCATATAATCTCAATCTTTTGTGTGATTAAAAACAATAGTGGTCACAGGATAGTAGGCCATTTTGTTAATTTTACTTTTGAGATTTTGATTTTGTCAGTGGGTCTCAGGTGTCATCTGTCAGATGCTGTTTTTGGGAATTTTGTAATATAACATGAGCAACCAGACAAAGCAGAGGTTTGGCTAATGTGACATTAGAAAAAAGCTTGTATGCACTATAGATACATAAAACAAGGTACTGGACTGAAACATTGTGCCCATTCTGTGCAATTAAAGTTGCTCACCTGGTGCATTTATCCAGGTCCTTGGTGCCCGAAGCCCAGAAAAGCTTTTTATTTATTTTTTTAGTATATATATGTAGTATACATATACATACATATACATGTGCGTCATGTTAGAAATTAACCCGATTCTTTTGTTGGAAGCACAAGAAGTGAAGACAGGAGAGGACCAGAAAGTTTACTGAATGTCTGATCACAGGTAGGCCTTACAGTGCTGGGATCAGAGAGATAGAGCTCCCACAGGAGTTCCATCCACTGACCCCGAATTAAGGTCTTACAATACATTTTATCTTCTTGGGCTGCTCCGCCCTGGACAGGGGCGCAACCTTCAATAGTTTGTGATCCTATTGGTCATTTGGTGTGAGCCGGGGCTCGCACTTCCATGTTGAAATATGGTAAATCTAAGTATGTGTGTGTGTATCTCTCAGGTTGTAGCCCCCGGCCTCTGCAGGACATCCCAAGACAAAGCAAAGCTTGGGATATGCTAAGTGGGTCGAGGTGTGAGTGTAAAACAATCCTTTGCTCAAATGTAAATAGGCTGTCTGGTCACAAAGAGATGTAGACATCTAGTCTCTACACAGAACTTACAGCATTCAAAGTAAGCAGATTCTGCTTCATTACAGCTGTAAGATATATAAGCAAGGGAAACAAATGTATTAAAATAACCAAAGCTCAGTAGTTCTGGACAATCATCAATACAGCTGTAATATGTATAGACAAGGAAAATAAAGTTATGAAAGGTAACTAAAGGGAACTAAAGGTATGGGAAGTAACTAAAGCTGATAAAGTAACTAGAGTCTATAAGACTCAAATCTTACAGTCATAGCCAGAATATACATTCACTTTACTATAACAGATTATGGTATGTGATTTGTCACAGTAGACACAAATAAAGGAGCTTCACTGATATACTGTGTGTACTGTGAATTTAACCATGGTATCTGTCATATGCAAAAACTAACAACCAGAAAACATATCGGCAACACTGATGTTGGAGCAATACAGAGTTAAATGTTTTTTAAAAAATGAATAGTTTTTCAAAAAGGTGATGAATTAGCTACTTGTAAACTCATGTAATGAACCACAAACTGGAGAGCAATATGTTTATTTGTCAAATTATTGTTGTTACATGCAGAAATATGTCCCACTGACTCACTAATGCTGACTTTTTTTTTCCAGTGAGTACATAGCCATCAACTAGTTGCTTCAGCTCTTCAGTTAATTACTAGCAGAACTCCACCCAGCTTCCACCTAATCAGGTTGCTTTTCATCTTGTGAACAAGTGTTAACATCTGTGTTTATGAAGATATGTTTCATTTTTTGAAGAAATTTCATAAGTCGTTAGACCCAGTTCTTTAATTGAAAGCCCGAGAAGTGAAGACAGGAAGACAGAAGAGGACTGTATAAAATCAACAGAAAATTTAATCGAAGTCTCGTCACATGTCAAGCCATACAGCGCTGGGCTCAGAGAAACAAAATTTCCACAGGAACCCCATCATCCAATAGCGCTGGACCATTGTCTGTAGTGCCATTTATCCTCGTGAGTGGGAACTGCCCCAGACTTACACGTGGACTTACATGTATCCTAACACTATTGGCCATAGGCATGAGCAGGCCAACCCCTACTCACGTCAGCAACTAAATATACAAATCAAATGGTGTGTGAATGTTGTTATCACCATAACACTGTAATAATTCGAAAACCGTGAGATATCATAAAGCCGAATACAAGATGAATAGCTGAAGATTTGCTGAATTGTTTAAAAGTTGAATGGCTTTTCTAGCTGAAAGTATGCTGGACTAATTAAGTGCCGAAAAATGAATGGAAGAAATCAGAATAATAAAGAATTGGATGTGAATAGTAATAATAATAATAATTAATAATTTGTTTATATAGCACTTTACAACACCGAAAGGAGCTCAAAGTGCTTCACAATAAAACAAACAGAGATAAAACAGAGCATGCCAAAATTACATAAAAAGATTAACACTGCACAAGTTTAAAACAGCAATCTATAAGAGCCATAAAATTCCTGTAAAATAAAAATGAGTCCAAATACAGAGAGAGTAAGATTACAAATATAAAAACAGGACGGCCTGTAGGCCCCGTATAGCATTGCTGCTAAATATTAGATGCCAAAAGCCCGTCTGAATTAATGTGGCTTTAATTTAGACATAAAAACCATTCACTCTGTTATAGATCGAACCTCAGGGGGCAGGGCATTCCAGAGCTTGGCGAGTGTAGTGTGGATGCTGACTTGGCATCCACAAAATGAATAGGTCAAGGTCAGTGTTTATTTGTCATATGCACATTTAGGAAATGTGTTTCCCTGTACAATGGAATTCTTACTTTGCCATCCACATGAATGTCACACAATACAAGTGAAATATAAAGTAGATGAGCAATAACACAAATCTAAATAGGCAGTAAAATCACAAATCTAAGGCACTTTAAAGCAGTGACTGAAGGAAGCAAATAAAATACAACAAGAACACAATATAATGCAGAGAGAATATATGCTACAAAGGAGCCATGGCGTGCAAATACTCAGCAGTGAGTGTTTATGCATGTACAAAATGAGCATGTAAACAGTAAAAAACACAAAAACGAAGAAAAAGCCAATCCTCCTCGGAGGGTGACATGATGGTAAAAAAAATTAAAAACTTTCCACTTGTGCTTGTCTGCTGTGGTCCAGTGACTTAACTAAACTTAGTCATCTTCCCAGGTACACAAGGGTCTGTGAGGACTGTCTGCAGTCATCTGCCTGTAGGCCAAAAATTTGTGTCAGACTGTTTGCTCAATAAAAAGCACCAGCAGTGCATATACGAGAATGTGGGTGATTGTGGACAGAGGGTTGAAGTGTAAAAAGGAATGTGTGTGTTCCCCCTCTGTGTCCACATGAGGGTATGTGAAAAATATGAACAGCAGCCATTACACAACTTTAGTGTGTGTTCTCCTTTGTTTAGACCTCTAATGTCTTAGCTCTACTGTGTGGACACTTTGGAGGGCATTTTATCATGCTTGCTCCACTGTGGGGGTGCTTTAGTGGGCACCTTTCTCTCTCACACATTGTCTTTACTGTGGGGAACCTTGGAGGGCACTCAGTCATATTTGCTCTACTGAGAGGGTCACTTTAAAACTTTAAAGGGCACTTATCACCTTTGCACTATGGGGGCACTTAAAAGGGCACTTAATCATGTTTTTGTATAGGGGGCACTTCAGAGATCACTCTCACTCTATTGTGGGATCATCCTGCAGGGCACTTATTACACTTGCACATGTGTAATAAATGTCCTGTAAATCTTCCTAGTCGAGGATCATATTTCCAAGTTTCCGACCGGAGCATAAACGTTGGAACACAAAATGGCGACCTACTTGCAGCGGATAGGACGACTGGGTTCTCTCAAGGTAATAACAACTGACTATGACCTGGTTTTACTGTGGTGTTAGCTCATTACAGATGACAAGTCTGGAGCCTCCGCGACCGATTTTGGTTGACAAAGAAAACGGCGCTGTTTTTTTTTTAGCGATGTAGAGCAGTGCTAACGCTAGGTGCTAACACAGCTAATACTGATGTGCGCCACACACAATACCTGCTCCAGTATTTGCGTTTTGTCCAACAACAGTGATAATATGCATGGTTCATAGCAACGCTGTTCTGTCAACTACAGATCCTATTTCCAAAATACAAGGCACAGAACAAAACGGAGATAATCCAGACTAGGATGCAACTTTATGATACCGTGTCAGGAAATGTCATGGTTTCACAGTATTACACAATTACTGTTATTAATAACTACAGTGACCCTCAAAGGAATAAAAACAAAATGACCCTTTTTAACATTCCAGGTGACTGTGCCAGTTGATTGAGCTGGATTGCAGCTAGATTGACCTTAAAGCCAGTCTGGGTGGGAGCCTGCTGCTAGCTGCTGGTTCATCTGTGCTTCTAGGCGTTTGTGCTCAGCTGTTAGGTTCTTTAGCCAGTAGGTGTGGGTCATGTCTGCACTGGGTGCTGTTGGATAGCCTTTACTTATTCTTTATCTTCACACCGGTCTGTAGTCCTACCACCTAACTGCTATCTGAGTGGTCTCAATCTTAACTTCTAGCCTCATTTTCCAGAGGTGATATGTACTGCCCTTCTTCTTGACTGTGTAGCTTGGCTACACAATCAAGGATTACAGCAGCTGTAGCATAAACCAGTTCACCGATCTGAGTTATGGTGGTAGTAGAGACTGTCATGAGGGCTTTGGGTTAGGTTTGATGGTGCCTCTCAGCAGCTACAGGACTGTTTTGATAGGACCAACTGGGACGTTTTTGAACATCCAGACCTGGAGATGTTCACAGACAGTGTCCTGTGTTATATTAAGAACTGCATAGACACCGTTAACGTGGACAAAAGCATCAGGGGCTGCCCCAACCAGAATCCCTGGATGAACTGGGAGGTCAAGCGACTACTGAGAGAGAGGAACACTGCCTTCAGGACAGGCGACAGGGCTCTCTACAGCACGGCCCAAGCTAACCTGAAGAGAGGCATCAGAAAGGCCAAATTGGACTACAGGAGGAGGATCGAAGGCCATCTGGACAGCAGCAACAACAGCAGGCAGGTGTGGCAGGGAGTCCAGCATCTTACCAACTATAGGAATAATCTCGGTGCGGCTGAAGGTGATACCTTGCTGGCAGAGGAGCTGAACCTCTTCTTTGCCCGCTTTGAGGGGCAGCAACCAGACACAGCCAAACTGCACCCTGCGGTCCATAGCGGCCCCACCCTCACAGTAGGGAAGGCGCACGCTGCGGGCTATAAACCCGAGGAAGGCTGCTGGACCGGATGGCATCCCTGGACATGTGCTGAAGGACTGCACAGACCAGCTGGCTGGAGTCTTCACCAGGACTGTCAACCAGTCTCTGGCCCAGTCCACTGTCCCACCCTCCCAGAAGTCCTCCATCCTAGTTCCCCTGCCTAAAAAAAAGAAACCCTACATAACCAGCCTCAGTGAATACCGGCCACTTGCACTCACTCCAGTGGTGATGAAGTGTTTTGAGAAACTGGTACAGGGACACATTCTGTCATTCCTCCCACCAACATCTGACCCGCACCAGTTTGCATACAGGACAAATAGATCGACAGAGGACACCAGTGCCACAGCCCTCCATGCTGTGCTGTCCCACTTGGAGCATCAGGAGAGCTATGCATGGCTGCTCTTTGTGGATTATACCTCCGCATTCAACACCATCCTCCCCCACAAACTGGTGGACAAGCTGGTGGATCTAGGAATTCCATATTTGACCTGCATCGGCATAAGGATAAGGATAATCACCTTTATTGGCCAAGTATGTTACACACATATGGATTAAGAGCTTCCTGTCTGGATGCAGCCAGAGGGTGAGAGTGGGCCCAAACACATCCACGGCTTTCAGCCTCAGCACTGGTTTCCCACAAGGCTGTGTGCTGCACCCCCCTGCTCTACACCCTGTACACCCATGACTGCACCCCCGCTCACCACAGCAACACCATTCTAAAATTTGCTGATGACACCACGGTGGTGGGGCTTACCTCTTGGGGGCATGAGACTACCTCCAGGGTTGAGGTGGAGAGGCTGATAGTGTGGTGCAGAGAGAACGATCTGCTCCTTAATACGTCAAAGACTAAGGAGGTCATTGTCGACTTCAGGAGGACGAAAACCGACATCTTGCCACTATATATCAGCGGGGACCGTGTGGAGAGGGTGCTGTCCTTCTGCTTTCTGGGAGTCCACATTAAAGAGGATCTGACCTGACTAAACTACTTTAAAAAGCCCAGCAGAGACTGTACTTCCTATGGGTGCTCAGGAAGAGACTGCTGGTGTCCTTCTATCGGTGCTCCATTGAGAGAATCCTTACATACTGTATATGTGTATGGTACAGCATCAGCACAGTGGCTCAGAGGAAAACGCTCCAGAGGGTCATTAATATGACCCAGGAGATTGTCGGCTGCCCTCTCCTCACTCTGGAAGATCTACACAGTTCCTGCTGCCTCAAAAAAATTGCCGAACATGATTAAGGACACGTCACACCCAGGACATTCACTCTTTGAACTGCTGCCGTCAGGTAGACGGTTCAGAGCAATCAAATCAAGGACCACTAGATTCTGGAATAGTTTTACCCAACAGCAGTTGCCACACTCAATGCTGCTAAAATATAATATGCCTGTGTGTGGGGGGGTCTGTTATTTATTTCCTTTTTCTAGCGGTTAAGTTTTTTTTATATGGTCTTATTTCATATGTTTTTTTTTATTTGTTTTTTTTATTGCTGTACCGACTGGAGGTCACTCCGAAATTCTGTTGTACATGTTACAGTGACAAAAAAGGATTTATCTATCTCTCTCTCTCTCTCTCGTGCTTTGCTCAGTTCACATCATCTTAAACAGCTGTGGGAAGAAGCAGTGCTGACTGCCCAGCACTATGTGCTGCCTTTCTGCTGCTGAAGTGATCTGCATATGGCAATGGGTGTGACCAAAACAAGTTAATCATGGCCATTTTAACTGTCAGATGGCCACCACAGTATCAGCAGTTATGCATTAGAATGTTCCTCTTCTTCTGTTTTCCTCACATGTACAGTATAACCTTCCACAAGGCCTCCTCAGGGCTATGGGCCATATGGCTTTATGGCATGAGGTTTGTTTGTAAGCATTGCAGTTCCATTGTCCTCTCTTTGTTGATGTAATGTGCAGTCACTGGCATGTTGCAGCTGGAACACATGTCAGTGGTCTTGCACTGTGTTTGAAATTTGTACCATAAGGTGTCTGTGCTCCTCTGCAGTGTCTCCAGTTGGAGAGCTGGGGAGTCCTGAGGAGTCACTCGGTCGCATCCTTCTGCACTCAGGCTGAAAAATCCAAAAAGACAAGGGCCACCGGGCAGAGTAAGACCATCAGATTCTGTTCCATTAATAAAGTGTGAAATTTAGGTTAACGGTTTGGCTACCTGGTTGATATTCTATAGTAATGTTTTATGTACTACATTTTTTATGGGTTTTTCCCTTTTTGTCCATAATGTTACTATGTGTGTGTGTATATGGGTTATCATTCAAAGTTGTGATTTTAAAAAGTAACATGAATTTTCTTTTTTACAGTGCAAAAAATGTGCCATCAGGTCTAACATTTTCTTTCTCTTCCAGCCATTCATTCATCCCAGAATAATGCTGTGTTAAAATTAAGTCTGTAATACACCGATTGTGTCCGATTGTGAATGTGCTACGTTCATCCATTTGGATAAATGAATTTTGTGGTGAAGCAATTCTTTTTTTTTGTGAAGTTTTCCTATCATATCTGGGTGGCTAATGCTTTGTCCATTTTGCTATAAATGTTTGATACTATTAACCATAACTGTACCATTTCACCATTTTCCTCAGCAGCAGAAGGTCCAGATGACAGAGCAACCCTGCTAGCCTACAAGACTGCAGTTGCCTTCCCAGTTAGACTTTCACAGCCTGGAGCTTTTCCAACACAGTCTCTAGGTGTGGTTGATCCAGTGCAAAGCCCCACTGCCACTGCAGAAATGGTAGTTGCTGCAGTGCCTGCACCACCTGTCACTGCTGCCAGTGAACCAACTGTAGCTATGGAGGCAGAGGCCCCAGTTGTCTCCTCAGATCCAGCTCTTGACACTGATGTTGCTCAGATCATTGCTGACACACCTCCACCTGTAGTTGACACAACAACTGCTGAGCCCCTGGTCAGTGCAATCAGTAAAACATCGACACCAGATGACACTCCATTTGCAGCTAATGGATCGATCTCCTCATCATCCAGTGACTCTGATTCTGACTCTGATTCTGACTCTGAGGATGAGAAGTCAGAACTAAAGAAAGAAAGCAAGAAATCACTGCCAGAGGCATCAGAATTCACTGCGAGAGAAGCACCAGAAGTTCAGGAAGTCACTCCAGACAAAGAAGACACTAATGAAGATAAGAAGGAAGTTCCACCAGAACCATCACAAATACCCAACATGCCAGTGAACCCTGCTGCTGAGGCTGCACAGGAGGCTGCTCCAGCAGCAGTAGTAGCAACCACAGAAGCGGCTCAAGCTACTGTGGAGGCAGCCAGTGTTAGCTCTGAAGACTTAGTGGACTCCGCCCTAAAGATCTGCACTGCCACAGAAGACACCCCAGAGGTCACCGTCACCAGTACTGAAGTTTCAGCTGACACTGCAGTTAAATTTCCTCCAGAAGCTTATGTTGAAGCCACTCAGCCTGCCTCTGCTGATGCCCCTGCTGAAGCTGCCTCAGCTGTCACTGTGGACGCTACCGAAGCTGCCCCCACTGAAGTGGCTGCTGAGACTACAGCAGATGTTTCCACCCCTGTGGAGAGTGCCAAGGTGCTGGTGGACTGCGCTCCAGTCATAGCTGAAGCTACAGGAGAGGAACTGCAGATGAAGGCTCCATCTGAACTATCTGAGGGTACACACTACACCACCCAACCCCCTAGATCTATTCTTATGCCTTTCTTCTTTGTGGAGCTTTAAGTCCCCACAGATGATCATATCTTTATATGCCGCATAACCCATTCTGTGCACTGTTAAGGTGCTAAGCAGGCGTCAGCTCCCTCACACAGAAATTGCTGTTGCTTTCACAGATTTTTTTTTTTTTTAATAATTATGGGGCAGCATTCCATCACTGTGATGTTTAACCCTTTTTATTGGTTTTTAGCATAGATCTTTGCATGAGATGGTAGTGGACACATATTTTAAGTTTGCTCTTCTGGCTTTTTGGGTTGTTCCTTTTTTCTACATTGTGCTATTATTAAGGGTGGCGTGAACTTTTGGCCTCCGAAAATTTTCGGCCGAAAATAAAAAAAACGGAATAAAAAAACACGCCGAAAATGCCCCGCCCCGCCCCGCCCATCCCATCCTCGCGCAGCACAGGTTAGGTTTCACTCACACTGGAGCTGTTATATCACACGTCTCCCCATCAACAACAAAGCATGTCAGCGGTATGGAAGCATTTTGACGTTTCAGGTGAGGACACCAAAGTTGCAATATGCAACATTTGTTCTGCGAAAATATCAAGAGGAGGCACGGTGCCAAAGAACTTTGACGACATGTTTGATACACCACCTGAAAACACGACATCCAATTGAATATGAGGAGTACCGGAAAACAACATTGGTTAATGCATCACAAACACCCTCGGTCGCCACATTCTTTGAAAAGACTAAGAAATTTACAGATGATAGTCCCAAAGCATGTGGCATTACTGAGAAAGTAACGGAATTCATTGCCTTAGATGACCAGCCCTTTTCTGTCGTGGATGACGTTGGATTTCGTAGGCTCATACAACATATTGAGCCACGTTATACACTGCCAAGCGGACGCTATTTTGCAGAAACATGTCTACCTGAAATGTATGACCGAGTTGCAAAACACGTTCACGAGCTCATTACCACGGACATACCAAGTCTAAGCTTTACCACAGACATTCGGAGCTCAGACATTAGCCCAACTAGCATGCTTAACTTAAGAGCACAGTGGATTGATTCTGATTTTAAACTGCAAAATGTTTTGCTTCACGCATATGCACTTGAAGGTGAAACTAATGTTTGACACAGCCCCAGTACTATGGGTGTTGCTGACGACGTGTAACCAAGGTGCTATTGCCTATCGCCTACTGTGACATTAATTCTGCTCCTGTTTCTGCTTTCTGCCGCTCTTCTGTGACTAGGAATGTGCCACTTATCACTTTCTTTAATCCCTCTTGCTTAGCCACTCCAGCAGTTGCCAAATTCATCTTCACTCCATATTTTGTTCATTTTAATATATTGCTGACTCTTACTTGTTGTTTATAATGCCTCTGAAATACTGGGTACAGGTTTTCTGAGTTAATGTTAGGGTTACAGGTAATAATGCTGCTGTTTGGCTTCATTGTGCCATGTGGTGCTATAACAGTGATTTTAGCAATGCACCTGGTTGCACCAGTGCTCGTTTCTTTGAAATGGTGAAATGTCAGTAACTGCACATTACATCAACAAAGACAGGACAATGGAACTGAAATGCTTCCAAACAAAATAATGAAAAATATTTGACGACCTATTTTTCAGGAAGAAAACGAAACAAAAACAAAATAAAAAGTAGTGTTTGACAATGCGAGCTATGACAAAATGTCAACAAATAAAAAGTGAACGGTAATGTGAAAGACGAATGAATGAGTGTGAAATTAATGACCTGTGGAATCAGTTTGCTCCAGCAGCCTGTCTCTCTGGTCCAGGAGTTGAATTAGCCACATGATGTGTTTCACTACCGGCTCAGTAATGTTCTGTCTCCTGGTTTTAGTGCTTCTTGGAAGAAACAGGTTTCATCTACAATCTAGAGAATTACACACAAAGCCTGCTGGGCGACACTAGGAACATGCAGCAGCACGCCATATGGAGTGGTGGGATCATTGAACATGAAACGCTGTGGATGTAGATGTAGCCTTAACGCTCCTTTCAGTCGCATATCTTTGGTGTTGCTGTCAGTTCCAGCATTAATATGGCCATAAATCATCTCTACGCGTTCGCTGCGGAGACTCACTGTTTACTGTTTTCTGATGATTTAGTGTCAGTTCTCAAGCTGAACCCAGTGAACAGGATTTTAGTCCAAATGTGAGTGAGCCCAGCTTTTGCAGAGCAGAGGGACACCGTGTGAGTAAAACACCTTAGGATAGATGGGAACAACACATGTAACCATGGTAACTGGACACAACCAGGATGAAGATGATGTAGCCTGCAGTAAATATTAAAATTACAGTTTAAAAAATGATGAAAACTAGACCAAAATGTAGTTAATTTTATTGACTAACAAAAATTTGACTGAAACCAATATGCATTTTTGTCAAAAGACTCAAATCAAATGCAGATGTCAAAATTCACACGGGGCTGCACTGTGGTCAGGTGAAGGTGTTAAAAGGCCTCCTGTCCCTGACAGCAGCTGGCAGTGGTTAGTCAGTGGAAGTCTTTCAGGAAATCTGGATCACACAGTTAACACCATTAGATTATTGTTATAATATCAAACTAATTATCAGCTATGAACTGGTGTTTAATAATGGATCCAATCGAAAATATTGCTACTACAGCACTTTTTTTTTTTTTTGACCTAACCCGTTTCTGACCACCTGGAAAGTTCTGCACCCTGTAGAGACCCCCTCCTCATGTTGCTCATTAGTTTCACCACTGTACATTTCTTTTTTTTGTTTGTTTTTGTTGTTGTTTTAACTTTGCAGATTTCATCTTTACCTAAATGCCTTTGGGATAACCACTGCATCCATGAAAAAATGTTAATGTGTATTTAAATGTGTTGTGGATGTGTACAGTTTTTTTCTCCGTCGTCTGTTGTTGTAAATATATTGTCACTGCATGCTAAGGGGTTTTCCAGACAGATTTAGTGTAAAAGTACATTGTTATTCAGAGAACTTTATGCACCTGTGTTTCATCAAACACATCAGAGCCTTGGATAGGACAGTACATCGAAATTTAATATGTCGCGATACAAAAACATCACAGTATGCGTCACTTTGTGTAGCAATGTATATCGTGTGGTCTCCATACACTAGTGACTTCATATGTTTTTAAATAAGCTAGCCTAACATAATGAAAGCCAGTATATCTGGTTGTTGTTTATCTGGGGGGGGGGGGGCAAGGACTCCCAACCCTACATTGTTATTCAATTTTTAGTTGTATCGTGATAGAACTGAATCATACACACCACACTGTGCATCGAATCATATCAAGAGAAAGTCACATCATCCCATCCCTACTTGTTCCCAAAGTACAGTGATGTGGAAAATGTGGTACAGGAAACCTCCCACTATTAACTGCCTGTATTAATATGTGTGACAAGGTGCAAATGTTTTGTCCCTTGAAATATCTGTAAAACAAATTACAGAGAAGGTCACATGTTTATTCAAATTTTATAGCTTACCAGAGATAACAAAAGTGTGTATTAATTAGAACCTGAAAACCAGACCCAGTATTACATTTGGCTTATCTTTTTCTATTTTTGTTTTAATGCTTGAAGAGCAGGAAGATATGAAATATGAATATTTGTACCAGACTCAACTTTCTTACACTACATGTCTTTTTGTGTTTTCCCCTCCTTCTATAGAGGCTGCAGCTGTGGCACGTCCAGAGCCTGAGGAGCCTTTTGACAACAGCACTTATAAAAACTACCAGCACCACAGCTACACCCCATTCACATTTGTTGACCTGGATGTAGAGATGGCAAAGTTTCGCCTCCCTCAGCCCTCTTCTGGCAGACCCTCACCCAGATACTAGAAGAGTGTTGTTGCTCATAATGTATGATTAACCTCCTCCCATCTGGCAGATCTGCATTTAATTCAGCTGTTAAAATATTATATTATTAAAGTACACAAAAAGAAATTATGTTTTTGCCTGGTGTGATTCTGTTAAATAAAGGAATAGGCCTATAAAGGGATAGACAAAGATGAAACACTTTAATGCTGCTTTTCTGCCTGGGGGTGGTTATTTAAATAGAGCTGAGTGTGCAAGTGGTTATCTGTGTATCTGTTTTCAAGATTCCAATTCTGACTTTCTTGATCTGCCTGGTTGTGCATAATGTCCTGGCCAAATGTGTTGTTTTAAGGTGTAAATAATCAGCATCTTATTTTTGTGTATTACCGTGTGGATGATGTGGGAATATGCATAGAGGGGTGTAAATCTGGAGATATGCATGCAAAATCTGTTTTGTAAATGAATAGCGTTTGCCAAGTAGGTCGTCATGTCTCCGCCCATGTATGAATATTCATGTACCGAGCGCCTCTGCCTACCCTTACGTGATGACGCAACGCGACAACTGCGGGTCCCGATTGCTGCAGCCGCTTGTCAGTGTGACGAAGATTGGCACTCAGGTAAGCTGTCACTCAAAATCCCTCTTTTTCCGTTCCCTATCAATCAAACAATCTGGGCCGCACGCAAAAATGCCCCGGGGCGAGGAGCGCGGACTTAGTCAGGACAGTGGAGGGTGTTTTTGGAAGGGAAGCAGAAGCGACAGAGCTGTGGGAAGAATAAAAAAAAACTGTATACAAGGGAGGGGGTAAAAAAATATGTCGGCGTTTTGGGGGCAGAGGATTGTGGAAAAGCAAAGGGCGAGGGAGCTAGAAACTAGGCCCGGTAACTGTATGGTTTAGCGCGGAGGGGAGGGGAAGTAGAGGGCAGCTGTCCCCATTTGATTGATTGATGTGGGAAAGATTTGGGGGTCAGCCGGACTAGCCTGTTGTGCAGCAAATTCTTAATGTTATTGCAGCTTAATTACTATACATAGCTGACAAATACGTAGTCATTTATAATGATAATTCAAAAACGCCAAAGCCAAGGAAGTTATCTTGTTATTTTGGCCAAACGGCTCTCTTCGTATCAATCCGCAGTGGGGTCTTTTTTTTGTACCTGGCTAGCTAGGTTAGCTTGTTTTTTGGCAATGATTCCCCTTGCTAAATATGGCGCTTTGCATTTTGCCTGCACCATATCTGCATGGGAAACACTTAAAAGTTAGCTACCGTGCTAACGTTAGCTGTAGCTCACCCAGACGGTTGCTCTTTTTGGTTAACCTCGGTTTGGGTTTGCGAGCTAACGCTAACGCGAATGTGGCGTTATGTTAGAGACTAGCTAGCTAAGTATTGTGGGGAAAACAACACACACTCCAGACGAGCTTTGTCTGCGAACACTGACGTTATCACAGACGGTTAGGGCACAGTTGACTAAAACTATCCTCAAACTTTAGACTCCAGTCTCCCCTTGCCGCCACAAACAGTGTGGCAGCTAACACAAGGCTACAAGCTAGCTAAGTGTATCGTGGTGGGTGTGTTTTAATAGCAGTTGGCAGGATATTTTAACACAAGTTCGCTGTTATAACAACGGACCATGGGGTTTCACAGTATTCTCTTGTTTTATAACAGTGGTGTGGACAGAAATCTTATCTATATTGACAAATGTCGAAATAAATGAGTAAACGCAGTCCGTTCATATAATGCTACCTCGTTTTTATTTACTTTTGCGTGCCTTTACATATCTTGCTTTGCCCAAATGTGCTAGATGTTTATGTATTATGTATTACTTTTGCTGTTATCTTACATGTTTTCCTGTTGCTTCATGTTTGTTTTTGTCGTATTTTTGAAAATGTAAGTTTTAAATGATTACACATCGTGGTTTCACTTGAATCAGCATTAATGCTAAACATTATTATGTAATACAAAAATACAGTTGTGTCTTTTCCCTTAACCCTTCTAGCCCAGTTTACCAAGCTAATAATCCTTAATTCTGATATTAGGACAGTTATATTAAGAAAAGCTTTTGTGCCTACAGTTAGAGGCATTTCTTACAGGTGGTCTAACTGAAACTGTGTGCGTTGTGTAGGTCGGCCACCTGCCCCGCTCTCTATAATGCCCCAGTGTTTGCAGCATCTGCAGTGAACGTGATGGCTGCCCAGTCGGTTTCCATAGACAAATACTCAAAAGAAGAGCAGCAGGTGGGTAAGAGGGAGAAGTTTGGGTTCAGACAACGGGGCCTATGCAACCTACTACAGCTGGCTGAACTGCAACTTTTGCTCCTTTGACCAAAGATGATCAAATACAACACCACTGTTTGTACCTAAATGTTCCAGGCTACAGCTTTTATATTATGCACTCTTTGCCTGTGGGTCCTCCAGGCTTTTTTGGCAGTTATGTCAGCCTGGATAGCCAAACTAAGGGAAACTCTTTGTAACTAACTGTACATTAAAAGTAATGTTAGTGATATTACTAGTGATTATGAGATGAAGCCTCATTCAGGTGTTGAGGCTTCCCAGCCAATAGTTTCACTAAAAGGTTCAGCTCATGAACTCAGTCCCCAAAAATAAATCATTCACGTGATTTTGGCTTTGTTTGTTGTTGGTCACATGACATTTAGGGAAACAACACCAGCTTCGAAGCTTGGGTGTCACAGGTACCATCGCCAGCTATTACACAGGTCTTAGTAATCTGCCTGTCTGTGGCAGGCCACCACATATGCATTACTTTATTAGGGATGCTGATGAAATATAACCCTCCGTGCCTAGTGCTTCAAGTTTCTGCTTATGTAAATTGCTTAATTTTTTAAAAATTCATATTCCAAATTTGGTGGTGTTGAGCTGAGAAAAGTCTATGACTAATGAGAAATTTTACACCCCAAGCCAGTGATTATTTTTAGCCCATTTGCACTCAATCCAAGTCATTGTTAGTCTCAGTCACATGGTTGGTGATGGGATTTATGGTCCTGGAAGGGATCCTTGGTTGCTGGTAGGCAGGCACAATGTGCCAATGTGTGAAGGAAAGGAAGGAAAAACTTGGCTTCTAACCAGTGAAGCTTCCTAGAGTGGAGCCTTGTAGAGGCTATAGTCATACTTTTATTTGCATCAAGTGACAGTTATATACTGGTGATAGCAGAAACCAGACTTTCCAAAGCTTTGAACGAATTGCTTTGAAAAGCCTGGTTTGGTGTTTTGAATCATCCTTCGCTGGCGCCATCTGCTGGCCAAATGTCTGTAAATACAATAGAAAGACTACCTGGTACTTGAACGATATGGGAGATGCAAACTTTGAGGCATTTTCACAGTATCATAGTGTTTAAATAAATTGTGGCAAATCTTCTGTGCATTTGTATATTACACTTATAGATGTGTATACATCAGAATGTGCTTTTAGGCAGTCTATATAGGCTGCTTTCATCTGCAAGCCTAAAATTAACATTTCAGATGGAAGAAAATGTATCTATGGAAAACGGGCCTCTCTGATGTGGAGTGTTTGTGTGACTGCAGCAGATGAAGATGACAGAGTTTTCATTAGAGTTTATATTAAGAACAACTATTTGCTCAAGTGTTTTATAGGCTACTTTAAAAGTTTTCTTCCTTACAGCCTCTCCTGCTTTAGAGCCAGTTCTGGTTAATTTAGGCTACTGTAAACCTTGTCCAAATAAATGAAACACAAATTAACAAACAAAAGAAGACACCTGTCATTTTTCAGGTAGCCCTGTAGTAGCCTGTGCCCTTTATTTAAATCTTCAGGATGCTGGGAATGGATTTTTAATTTTATCCCCTCCTCTTCTCCTTCCATACTCCTTTGCCGCTCATTTCCTGTCTCTGGACCTAGGTCATATGTGGTCATAACAGCCAGAGACAGTTGTGACAGTCAGGTAGCGCAGCAGTAATAACCAGCTCCAGAACTAATGTATACAGAATATAGAGCCTGTGGTTTTCAGTGGCATTGCAGCAACACAGTGTCAAATAAAGAGATTTACACTTTAGCGATATGCGTACGCATGTCTAACATTGTTTGTAGTAAATGTATCTGCAGTAACATAGGTCAATTATTTTTTTTCCCCAGTAATCTTGATACATACTAATGTTCCAGCCAGTATCGCATCATGTTTAATCTTACATACTTGACATGTATAACCATGAGTTGTATGTGAAACAAGAAGTTTCATGTTATGCTTTGATAGATGAACAACCTTGAATATAGCCTTCTAGCTATTTTTGATCTTCACATGATGTCTTTCTTTCGTTCTTCATGTTTCTTTTCACCTTTTCTGTCAGTTTGTCTTTGTTTTTTTTTTTGTTGTTGTTTGTTTTTGGTTGCTTTTTCCTCACTTTGTTTTCTGTTTCTGCAGATGCAAGCTGTGGTAAAGGTAGACAGTGATTCAGAGCAGAAGTTTCTTGAAGGGACACTGGCGGAGGTGCACAGCCCAGCACCAACAGAGCCACAGACACCCATGGATGCGGACAAAGCCTCAATATATCGGTAGGACTAATGTTGTGTTTGTTTGTTTGTTTAGTAAGAGAGAACCAGAAAAACACTTGCTAAATCTTGTGTTCCTCTCTTTCCCGGTTTGAACTTCACTGCTTTCATATTAGCCAGAAGGCAAACCATCACGAGGAAACCTCACATGATTTCCATGAAGTTGTGATTTAATACACCCTATTACTGGGGTGAAAAGAGAAATATGTTCTTTGAAGTGAGTGTGCTGTTTAGTAACTTGTCCTATTTGGTGTCATGTGGGTGCACCTTCTACAGGCATCCCCTGTTCCCGCTGTTAGCCCTGCTGTTTGAAAAGTGTGAACAGTCCACGCTGAGCTCTGAATGCATTACCTCAGCGAGCTTTGATGTGGACATTGAGAACTTTGTCCGAAATCAGGAGAAAGAGGGCAAACCTTTCTTCAGTGAGGATCCAGAACTTGACAACCTGGTGAGATACCTCTGCAAACTGGGTAGAAATTTAGACTTTTGGTTGTTCCGTTTGTTTTATGTTATTTTCCCCCGTCAAGCATTTTGGTGCCTTTGTTGCACACTGTAGTGATCTACATATTTAGATTACATTTGGGTGTAGTTGGCAGCATAACTGACTTTTTCAAAAACAACAGAAATAGAACAAGTTTTAAAAATAACTGACTGCTTTAGAACAGCTGAGGACTGTAAAATGGAAAAAGAGATTATTGGCTCAATTTTTCTTGACAAATATTTTTTTAAAACTATAGCCTGTCAGCTCTTTTAATGGTAAGTTTTTAATTCAGCACCTCAAAATCCATAAAACTAGCACATCTCAACTCAGAAGCAGAAAGCATTTTTTTCTCAAAGTAAACAGCCTTTGAGTAATAGAGAAACAAATACAAAGAAGTTAAAATGATTGAAGGGTGAACGGGAGCGATGCATCTTGTTCAACTGTATCATATCATCCAACTTATGAAGCTGCAGCCTCATGGAGTAGGTTATTCTCTCCATGACAAATCTTCATTTTTAAAGTTGTAGACCAGTGTTATCTAAATGTTTAGTGTGCTTTACAAGGAGGTATAAAAACAATATAAGTAAAATACTGTGATGATCAAAAGCACACTCAAGCAACGAACAGTTTATCTGTACTGAGGACTGTAATTGGTGGGTATTTTTCTAGGCTGTCATGAACGTCTTTTTATTTTTGACCTCCAGATGGTGAAAGCCATCCAGGTACTGCGAATCCACCTGTTGGAGCTGGAGAAGGTGAGTGACCTGTGCAAGGACTTCTGTAGCCGCTACATTGCCTGCCTCAAGACTAAGATGAACAGTGAAACTCTGCTGAGTGGGGAGCCAGGCAGCCCCTACTCCCCCGTACAAGGCCAGGCCCACAGCTTCTCACCCACCAAGACTCAGGTTTGCACTTTAAGTGGACTGTATGCATCAACACTAAACAAATTTGGGTGCAACCAAACCATCTCTAATAGATGTGTTGGTACCTTTGAAGTGAGTGTCTCGTATAAGACAGTGGCAATGCTTTGGATCTGATTCTTTGCTGCAACCTATAAGAGTATGCTTTAAATCAAGCTAAAAGAGCCATCAACATGAAACATGTACATGAGACTCAGGCCCATTTTGTGTGTGTATTCTTTATTAAGCAGACTCCCAACTCTATCTCGGGGACCATCAGTCCCCAGGGTCAAATAGTGGTGCCAGCATCAGCCCTGCAGCAAGGGAATGTTACCGTGACAGCTGTCAACCCCACCCAGGTGGTCGCAGGTATGTCACCATGGCATACAACCCCTCCCTCAGGTACTGTACTGTGGTGACTGCAGCTGAGATATTGTTGTGTACCAGTGGGACATTTACTTCAGACCTCTTTTTGCAGCCAGCATTCTACAGCTCAGTGGATGTTGTGTGTGTGTGTGTTATTTTCAGGTGGCACGGTTTATCAGCCTGTTACAGTCGTCACTCCTCAGGGCCAAGTGGTAACACAGGCTCTTTCTCCCGGGACAATACGTGTCCAAAACAATCAGGTAGTACATCTCCCTTTGTGACTGTGATGCTGTGTATAATCTACATCAGTGGTCCCTATAATGGGAAAAGTAGATAAAGGTAATGCTAATTCTTAAATTCTGACGTTGAATGTTTGCTCCCTCAGTCCAGAGGAATATTGAAATATATTTTCCAAGACTCAAAGGACTTTGTCTTCTGGAGGCGCAGACAGTATGGCCCAGAGGTATTGGCAAAACTGAGTTAACGTTAGAAACAATCACACGGGAAAGCATTTCCAGATTTCAACCAGTGATGCTAAAGCAGGAAGAGAGAGGAGGAGGAGGAGGAGGAGGAACAGCCAGGTACAGTACAGTGCAGGTCAGGTCAGATGGAGCAAACACAGAGATGTAGAAGCAAAGCAGCCTTGTTTCTGTTCTCCTGCACAGACTGAGTGATTAATGTATTGTCATATTTAATAAATAATTTGTGAATGCACATGCACTTAAACTCCGCTTCCATCCACTCCTAAATTTCCAGTTTTTCCATAGTTCGTCTTATGTGTTTCTGGTTCTTCTATATCAGTCATGTTAGAGGTTTGATTAGGTTTCGTAAACCCGTACTTCAGCAGCCCCAACATACTGTAACAGCAGTGAACCGGCGACAACTGTGTTTGCTGTTTTCATAAAAACCGCGAATGAAACGGAATGTTTGTGGAATGTTAATCTTGTGTTGGCGAAGTGCACGGTGTCTGAGACACGGCATCCAATTCTCAGATCTGATGAAGCTTGGTGGCCACAGCGGGCCACTTGCTGGGGTTATAACCTTTTGTGGCCACGAGCCATGGTTAATGTCAAACCCTAGAACAGCTGCAGACCAGGTCCTGTGTCCATCACATATGCTTTTCCAAGAACACATCTCTCAAACACTTTAAATTAAGTAGCTGTGTATCTTAAAGTCAGTTTTAGTTATGGGTAAAGGTCAGGTCTTATGTTAACAGGTCAGGTCGGTTCCAGATTTCATTTAGAAATAACTCCAGGCAAAGGATGGGGTCTACTACGGAGCTTTGTGGGTGCAGGTTTTCAGAATTGGACCTGTGCAGGACTCTGTGCACCATTAATAAGGGGCATGGCTCTCACCTCACTGCTGTGATTATTTGTAAAATAATTATTACTATGTGGTTCAGATTCTTTGAAAATTGATCAAATGTGTTCTCAAATTACTCACAAAAGCCTGGAAACATTTGACAGGAAATTACTGCTCAGCTCTAGTTAACCTTTGAATAGTGAATTGAATTCTTCTGTTGTTACACAACCCCTGCTGTTTCAGATATTGACATATTTAATAAGAATATACTTTGGAGATTTGGATGGTTAGGATTTCTCCTGCTCAACTTAAAAGTGATATCCATATTCAAATAGTACAGACGAGGGCTGAAGTTTGATGTGTTGTTGGTGTCATGAACAAATAGAAAGGTGGCTAAATGACTGTGCTTCTGTTTAGCTGCAGCTGCAGTTTCACCAGGACTTGAATCTCTTTAATCACGACGACAACTCAACCAAGAACAAGCGTGGCGTCCTACCCAAACACGCCACTAACGTCATGCGCTCATGGCTCTTCCAGCACATCGGAGTGAGTTTGTATTTAACAAATCTTTTCTTGTGCAATTCTTTAAAAAAAAACAAACTTAAAGACTGAAGAATTTCTTTGCCTGCTCTCTCCTGTAGCATCCATATCCGACAGAGGATGAAAAGAAACAGATTGCCACACAGACAAATCTGACACTTCTGCAGGTCAACAACTGGTGAGTTGGGATGTCCTGGTGGTCCACAAGGACAATATTTTAATCTGGGGTCATTAAAACACAATAGCCCATACTATAGGACAGAACGGAGGCTTATCAGCTGTGCACCACTGCACTCTTCATTTAAACACCCCCTCCCAAATTACTATTTTATAGCCTACTCCTTGGGTCACATGTCTCCTAAAATGTTTCTATGTAATTTTTTTTAAGATATTGTGTTTGATTGTTGGATAATACTCCAATGCATTGTCTTATTGAATGAATGAAGCCCTGCATCTTTCTACAGACAGGCAGGTTTTATTGTTTGGAGAGGATAGCAGCGCTACAAAACGCATCGTTAGTACAGCAGGCACTCAAGTCCAAGTCTGCTTTGCATTTTGCTTTACCTTGAAGTCACTTTTAAGTTTTGTTCTCTCTTAACCAAGACATGTAAGAATTGACACAGCCATAATAAAACCGCTCAGACCAACCCTGAGTAAAGAAGATAAAATCCTTTGTCTTAGTAATCTGTCCAACTCATCAAATGTAACTTCCATCAGTTCATAGTTTGTGAATGTCTATGAGAGTCCATCTGTATTCTCCTTAAAGGTTGCTGCCAGTTAAAACAAAGTGGCTGATAGATTTTGGAATCTGCCAGTCACAGTGCCATGTGGACAAAATGCTAAAATCCAACCCTGGCAAAATGATTGATCACAGCCTCTCAGGATTGGAGGTGTTGTGTCCTGTAACACCTGTGGGAAACTACAGCATCACACATTTCAGCCATTAAGGTCACACACAGAAGAGAACTAACTTGAGTTGTCTTGTTTCTTCAGGTTTATAAATGCACGGAGGCGCATTCTGCAGCCCATGTTGGATGCCAGCTCCTCTGAGACGCCCAAAACCAAGAAGAAAACTCCTCAAAACCGGCCACTTCAGCGCTTCTGGCCTGACTCTATTGCCACTGGAGGAGGCTCCCAGCAGCAAGTTACCATGCCAGATGGTACACGGAATTGTTTCTATGCATAGTTTGTAGTTTGAAGTTAAAATATTTTAAAGAAATGGTTTGGCCATCTAATGAAAGAAAAAGAAAAAGCCCAATTAACAGTCCAAGCTGCTGCTAAGTTATTGGACAGTTACATATTTTGTTATTCAGGCTCTGCTTCAGCACATTGAATTTGAAATAGTGGCAAGTCTCAACTTTAATTTAGGTAGATTTGTATTAATATCGAAAGAATTGTGTGTGTGAGATGCACTGACCAATGTACACTGGGAATGCAGCAAATTAATTAGAAAACAACAATCAAATTAGTGGTTCATCAGAACCTGTATATCACTTGGGCTGTTTGTGTATTTGAAGCAGAGAAATGGACAGGGACTAATTTAGGGAGTAGGATTAGTTTAATAATACCAACAAGTTGTTTGCCCAGGGTTACATCTATAACATAGTATGTCTTGTGTTCTAGATCGAACATTTCACAGGAACACCTTTACAGCATTTAAAATCAGACTCTTCCTGGCCTTGCAGAATGTCAACAGTGGTTGTCAGTTGAAAAAACCCTGCACACTGTGAATCACTTGTACTCACTTTACACTGATCAGCCATAACATTATGACCACTGACAGATGAAGTGAGTAACACTGTAGGGCTGGACCCAAATATCCAAGTATTCATTTGTTGGGCAGGTAATCGGTTTTCAATTTTAGTATTCGCCGCCACCACACAGAGCAGTGACACCTACACTCTCGTTAGCAAAGTTCAGGGTGGAAATTGCACAAGTAGCAGCTTCTGCTGATTGACAGTGTTACAGGTTATAAACTAAGGTGTTTTGTTTTTCACTTCAACTTGGTAATAGGCTTTTAAATAGTAACCATCTCTTGTTCTGTTCTCTCATTATAGGTACAATGGTGACGATGAACGTGGAGGGTCTGCAGAGCCTGACATCAGACAGCGCAACGCTGGCAGTACAGCAGGTGATGCTGGGAGGTCACAGTGAAGATGAGTCGGGGGACAGCGGAGACGAGGATGATGACACAGACATGGCCGGGCTGGCCCTGGACAACAGTGACTCACTGCAGTAGAGGATACACTCCCTGACACACTGATAAACACATACATACAAGACCTGGGACATAGGTCTACAGAATACTTGTGCAACATGCAGTGAATCATAGTACAAACTGATGCGTATTAGGTTTACATAGAGCACAAAACAACAGGACATAACATCAAAACTTTCATTTCAGAAACCATTTTTTAATTAGTTGATGTAGGCGAGTGCACTTTTTTTTGTATATTTAAGCTCAAAAAGATTAAACAAACAGCCGAAAAAAAAAGAAGTGTTAAAAACACCTGAAGCAAGTTTGTGTGCTCCGTTAATAAATGTTGACTGATTAATGATTTTTTTTTCTTGGCCCCGTTCCCCATCCCCAAGTCTCGTTTGGAATGCCAACACGTAGAAGTTGTATCTGTAAGGGTTTGTCTTCACTTTTTGCATGCTTGTGTTTTGAGTAGATGTGCGTACTCTTACGACTGACTCCACGGTTCTCACACAAGCCCCTGAGGGCTAAGCATAGCCCAAGTGGAGGGGGGAGGGGGGAGGAGAGATGCTTATTTTTATATACAAACATATAAAATTAGTGGGGTTTTTGTTTCGTTTCTGTGTTCTCCTGTTTTGTAAGGAATATTTATGTACAGATTCATAATTAAAGCTATCAACCCTGTTTTCCAGGGTTCTTTGAAGTTTTCTAAAAAACAGAAAAAGGAATTGAATGCTGATGAAAATTACTATTTAATTGGTTTTAAACTTGCAATACTAACAAGGCCTTACCTATGTTCTTTTCTAAAAAATTCTTGCCAGAAAGCACAAAAACAGTCTGACCCTTGTTGAAATTGGTCAAAAAGACACTAAAATGCAGAACACTTGTGGTTCTGTGAAGCGTTGGTAATTATTTTCCACTGTGTACTGCAGCATCAGTTCTCTTACGCTATCTGACTGCAGTTCTCAAGATTTTTTTAAAGACAGTTCCAGTTTTACTCGCATTGTGTATACCATATATTGACATCTTTTAATCATTATACAGTAGTAGTGTAGGTGTCACTTTCTCAAATGCACAATCCAGAACACTATGCTAATCACACAATCACAAAGGTCCGAGATGGAAACCCCTGGGATGGTAGTTTCCACGCTGAGCTATGAACTGCATCAACAGCAGGGGACTTTTTGCACGCTTTAAACCTTTATTTATGTACACATAAATGCTACTGTGTCGAAAACAGAGATGTTGGAAAGTGTAACTCCTTACTTATTTCTAGCCTGAAGGACTGGAACCAAGTGCTGCAGCCTGTCAATCCCCCTGCCATTACAGACACGTAGTGAACGATCTGAAATGTTTTATCAAATTATTACTGCACAAATTGAGGTGCCTCTTGTTTGAATACATCTAATATTGTACTGTACAAGAGTTGTCTGTCAATAGTTGCAGTAATCGGGATTATGTCCCTCTTGTAAAGTTGAGACTTGAAATGGTTAATTTCATGTGGCCTGAGGGTGTAGAGACTCTGGGTGGGCCCTCGCTGGGCTCTCACCTCCTCGATTGCATCTGTCTTGCTTTCTATGACGCATTGTTCACTTTTCTTGTCTGTTTTGCCTTAGAGCTTTCTATTTTGGAATAAACAATGCCTAACTCTACTGGGGCCATCTCTTCACTGTGCTCCCTCAGCTTGGCTCTCAAACAGGCTTTGATTGTGTCAAAGACGCTGCCATTCTGATGTGGTACAGTTGATCTCTATAGGGGTTTTTTTCAAATGTGATAATATACCAACAGAAGCTTGGAAGAATACCTGTAGATGTTATCAGTTGTCTGTGCTCAGTGTAGTAGAGTTGTGAGCCTCTTCTTTCTGAAAGACAACATAGAAAATGGGCAGTTTTATCAGATGATATGGAAGTACTGTATGTAGAGGTAATGATTCATATCTGTTAACACATTTGTGCAGGTGGCCAGATCTGAGGGTCTTTGTTTAGCCTACCCGTGGGTCCGTCTCAACAAACATCTAAAGCAAAGCATTGTTCTAAGTTGCAATACTCAGCTTTAAATTCTATAGCCCAATGTTTCCAAAACCACCAATATAGGGAGTTTATGAAGTTTCCACAAACAATACAAGCCTCGCATTTTGGGTTTGGATATCCACAATATCCAACCTCAATTCCAAACTAGAAAAGGTCATTTCTGAAGAAATCAGGTTAGGGGAGCTGATATCCTGCCGAAAAGACGCTGATTGCATATAAACATATAAAAGCAGAGCCAAACAAAAGACAGGAATTTTCAAAAGAAGGCAAAAACAGAAAAAAGAAAAGTTGAAAGAAAGACAAAGGAGGAACAAGGGAAGGAAGAAAGTTGAAAAAAATGAACTAAAGTGGAAGGAAAGAAAGAGGGATATAAAAGTTAATAAAATTAAGGATGAAAGAAAGGAAAGAACAGGTGAAGGGCAGAGGAAAGAGGTCAAACTAAGAAAGGAAGAATGGGAGGAATAAAGGAAAAGGAAGGAAGCAAGGAAATAAGGATGAAATGGAGGAATAAAGCATTTTTATCAAGAAGGTCAATATATGATCAAAGTATTAGTAGTTTTAGAAAGTACAGTAGTAATGTCAGAAATACTAGTAATGAGAGTAGAATGAATGAGCCTCAACAGGTTCTGTGCCAGATTCAATAGACCTCAGAATCCCCTGTAACACTGAGAACACTACACTTCAGGTGACAGAGAGCTCTGAAGCAAGTAAACCCCAGCAAGGCAGCGGGACCAGATGGAGTGTTCCAGAGAGTCCTGAAGGCCTGTGCTGAGCAATTGGCAAGTGTGTACACAGGTAATTGTAACACCCCTCACACATGCAACAGTGTTATGCTCCTTTAAAATCTTCCAGTATTGTACTGGTCCCTAGAAAAAACATCAACAATAAATGACTTTAGGCCATTGGCACTCAACACCGGTTGCCATGAGGTGCCTAGAGAAGCGTGTCCTCAAAGCCAAAAACTCTGGTTCCAGATACTGTAGCTCACCTACTGCCCCAACAGATCAGTGGACGATGCCTAGACTCAAACTGAGCATATGTGCACATGCTTTTTCTGCACTCTAGCCTGGCCATCTGGCTTGTGAAGCTGGCAGACTTCTGAGATTTTAGACTTTCTTACACACAGACCACAGGTGGTGAGGATGGGAAACAGTCTCTGCGGAGCTCACAATCAGCACAGGAACCCCCAGGGCTGCCCCTAACTCTACACCCTGTACACACATGATTGTGTCTCCACACAAGACAACAACTTCATAATTAGATATGCAGATGACATGACCATCCTTGGTCTCATCAAATGTAGGGAATTAGTGAATAATATCATTGGGGTCCCTGATAGACTGGTGACTAGGATTCAGCATTCTCCCGCTGCGGCCCAGGTTTGATTCAGGGTTGCATCAGGAAGGGCATCTGGCATAAAACACGTACCAAATTTCAACATGCGAATCATCAGTGTGACTGCTGTAGCGACCCCTGAGGGGAACAGTTGAAAGTGACAAGAGTGAACAACATCATTGCCTATGGAGAGTGACACAGACAACATAGAGGAAACCAACAGAATCATTATGGATTTTAAGGAGGAAAGCCCCACCTCTACAGGCTCTCACCATCCAGGGGAGTAAGGTGGAGCAGGCCTGACAGTCACAAGTCTCTGGGCCTTTATGTGACAGAAAACCTGTGCTGGGCTGAAAACACTGGTGCAACAAAGAAAGCACAGCAGTAGCGGAATTTCATCAGGCCACTCAAGAAGGCAGGACTGAGCCGTCATCCCTCAACCAGGCCTACAGAGGAGTCATCAAGAGTTTTCTCACCAGTTGTATCATTGTGTGGTATGGAAAGGAGAGGAGAGAGGAAATCTCTCCAAGGAGTTATTAAAACAGCAGGGAGAATCATCAGCTGTGACCTCCCTTCTACGGACACACTACACACACAAGGCTGCAGGAGAAAAGCACAGAAACCACCCAGTTCATTCCCTATTTAGGTGGAACAGTTCAGTTTCTTGCTGATAGGCAGGTCATAGAACTTTGGAGCTGTCCAGACTGTCTTTAACTTCTCTCAAACCTAGGAGCTAATTTTAGTGCTAAATCCATTATGAATTACTCAAACCAAAAGCATTGGAGTCCTAAAGGTTATCCTTAATCTTATGTTTTAGGAGTTACGTCTTTCTTGGCTACTTACAGTGGTGTGAAAAAGTGTTTGCCCCCTTACTGATTTCTTATCTTTTTGCATGTTTGTCACACTGTAATGTTTCAGATCGTCAAACAAATTTATATATTAGTCAAAGATAACACAAGTAAACACATCATGCAGGTTTTAAATGAAGGTTTTTATTATTAAGGGAAAACAAAATCCAAAACTATAGAGCCCTGTGTGAACAAGTGTTTGCCCCCTAAACCTAATAACTGGTTGGGCCACCCTTAGCAGCAACAACTGCAATCAAGCGTTTTCGATAACTTGCCATGAGTCTTCCACAGCGCTGTGGAGGAATTTTGGCCCACTCATCTTGGCAGAATGGTTGTAAGTCAGCCCTGCAGAACCCAAGTTCGCTTCAGCTTGAGGTCACAAACGGATGGCCGGACATTCTCCTTCAGGATATTTTGGTACACAGCAGAATTCATGGTTCCATTTATCACAGCAAGTCTTCCAGGGCCTGAAGCAGCAAAACAGCCCCAGACCATCACACTACCACCACCATATTTTACTGTTGGTATGATGTTCTTTTTCTGAAATGCGGTGTTACTTTTACGCCACACATAATGGGACACACACCTTCCAAAAAGTTCAACTTTTGTCTCGTCTGTCCACAGAGTATTATCCCAAAAGTCTTGGGGATCATCAAGATGTTTTCTGGCAAAACTGAGACGAGCCTTTATGTTCTTTTTGCTCAGCAGTGGTTTTCGTCTTGGAACTCTGCCATGCAAACCATTTTTGCCCAGTCTCTTTCTTATGGTGGAGTCATGAACACTCACCTTAACTGAGGCAAGTGAGGCCTGCAGTTCTTTGGATGTTGTTGTGGGGTCTTTTGTGACCTCTTGGATGAGTTGTCGCTGCGCTCTTGGGGTAATTTTGGTCGGCCGGCCACTCCTGGGAAGGTTCTCCACTGTTCCATGTTTTCGCCATTTGTGGATAATGGCTCTCACTGTGGTTCGCTGCAGTCCCCAAGCTTTAGAAATGGCTTTATAACCTTTTCCGGACTGATAGAGCTTCATTATTCTCTTTCTCATTTGTTTTTGAATTTCTTTGGATCTCGGCATGATGTCTAGCTTTTGAGGATCTTTTGGTCTACTTCACTTTGTCAGGCAGGTCCTATTTAAGTGATTTCTTGATTGCGAACAGGTGTGGCAGTAATCAGGCCTGGGTGTGGCTATAGAAATTGAACTCAGGTGCGATAAACCAGTGTTTTGACAGGGGGGCAAACACTTGTTCACACAGGGCTATATAGTTTTGGATTTTGTTTTCCCTTAATAATAAAAACCTTCATTTAAAAACTGCATGATGTGTTTACTTGTGTTATCTTTGACTAATATATAAATTTGTTTGATGATCTGAAACATTACAGTGTGACAAACATGCAAAAAGATAAGAAATCAGTAAGGGGGCAAACACTTTTTCACACCACTGTAGAAGCTGCTTTTGGCCTTAGGATGTTTCGTGAATACTCTGTCTCTCAGCCCAGTCAGACTGGTGACCAGAGTGGACCCTGCCTCTGCCCAATATCAGCTGGGATTGGCTTAGGACCCCCGCGACCCTCTTCAGGATAAGTGGGATAGATAACAGATGGCTGTTTTATGAATATGGCCATGGTTCTTCTGAAGAGGCCAATCCTGAAACAGGACACAGCTTGTGATGTACTGACCTCCATCTGCTGGTGGATCCAGCTGAGGGACTTCGTGATGCGAGTGTAAACACCTGGCTTGTTCCTCATTGCACAGCCAATTCCCCAGCTGGTTGTCCCAACCAGCTTCCATACAGACGAGTCTCCACAGGCCAGAGGACCTCCGCTGTCTCCCTGAGGAAGAATATACACACAGATGAACCAGAGACACAAAGAGGGAGTCCCCATTCACAAGCCAAATCAATCATTCTTCACAAATGTATAATAGCACATTTTATAGTAAATGTCCTACAGGTACATTCCTGGAAAAGACTTTATAATTCTATGTTTTCTTGCTAAAATGGAGACAGTGTTCCATTAGTACATTTTAAATTCTTTTTCCTACTTGCTTGTGTGGCCAAGAGTCATTTTAGTGAGTAGATAAGTCTCCAAGTTTGGCATGATGGTTGCTATCCCAGACAGCCTCTGTAGTCTCATTTAGTCACTTGTTAGCAGCTGCCTTTTTAAGATGTGGAAAAGCATTTAAAAAATCATGAGTGGGGTATTTAATACGATCTGATCACTGAAACAGCTTGCCAAGGTCATCCGGAATGCATTTAGCCACATATCTTTTCCTTAAATGTATTATAATTCTTTCATTATACTTCCATGTACAAATCTAATCTCATCCTAAACTTTTCTTTCTTGGTTAGGGAGGCTTCTGGCACTTGTCTGGTAACAGACTGACATAACTGTGCCTGTGACCTCTCAATATTTAAGTGGCACAAGTGATCAGCTGGACACGGAGAAGTATGTGTACTGACAGGTGTGAAAGGGGATGTGTCTTGGGTCTCCACTTGTGTTTGAATCACCAAGACGCATTTTGATACCGAGTCTAAACGGGGCGATGTTATCTGATGCTAACCTCTGACATGACAGATCTCCAAGATACCCTCGGTGCATTACCGCTCCATTGGAGCAGGCTGTAATATAACAAAATTTAAATAATAATTTTGATAGATTTTTCATTGCTAATTAAAAATCCATATTTGTGATTAATTACTTGTTACACTCATACCCTGTGAGACTGCTACTTTTAAAAGACTGATATTTCATGAAAGATTTTAGGCTGAGCTGAATGCACTAACAGTGTTACCTGCATTTTACTGGTCTCCAATGTGAGGCACGGCCATGGAACCTAAGAGGTGGATTTATTTGTCCTGTGAGGGACCTAATCCAGGAAATGATCCTGTATGAAATCCAGAATATCTTGGGAACTGTGTGTAAACTTGATCTAGCATCTTTTCCTGTCAGATTATTATTTAGCCCAAGCCTGCAATTAATAGTTTTATTCTCTTTGAGTAAATAAATACAGAAATATAAAAATATTTAATATTTCAGATGACATTTTTCAGATTTTGTTTCAAAATAAATAATCCATAAAATAGATAGTATTGTAGTAATTCATGCTGTAGAGGGCTTCTCAGCTAAGAGGGCCTGAAATCATAGTGAATCTTGGTGTTTAATGACAAGGCTAGTTTATTTACATAGCACATTTCATACACAAAGGCAGCTCAAAGTGCTTAGCACAATGCACAAAAAATGAATAAAACATTAGAATGCAAATTACATTCAAATGTTAAATGCTAATTAAAAGCAACAATTACATGGCAGCCAAGGCTGGTTTAGCACAAGGGCCAACCTGGGCTGAAGCGCAGGGCCCCAGGAAAGGCAGGCCCCTGAATTTTAGGGGTCAAATACAATGTTTATGGTACAGATGCCCCCGTTCTATTAGCCATTTCAATTTGTTTATGTTCCTGTCTTGATATTACTTTGCTTGATTTACAGGTGACCAGTGGGAGGGCTCTAAAGTGTCAGAAGTCAGCTGTGAATCCCATCAATCGCCATCAGTTATCTAAACATCATGACAGCATTACAGCAGGAGAGCACAGAAAGGGCAGGAACTCGACTGGGAGTACCTTCTAAAAATTCCAAAGTTGACCAGACATTTTAAATCAGGCTGAGCGGGCGAGGATAAAGATGGAGATGATGTGGAGGTGAATGTAGCCAAAGCAAGAGTGTGCAGCTAGCCAGAGCCATGGCTAGTTCAGCTAGCATGGCAGATGAAGTGGACATTAGCGCCAGCGGGATAACTTATACAGCATGGATCCTGCTCTTTGGGGAGCAGTGGATGAGTCTGCACCACCAATACTGGGCTTCTCAGGGGCCAAAAGTATATCAGAACAGACATGCTGATTTCCAAAGCCTTGGAAGGAATCAAGAACAGGTTCTGTGCTCCAGGGGAATCCAGCATTGATGAGCTGGTCATTCACCACCGCGGGGGGCTTCGCAGGCCGAATGCTTGTAGGTTAGACCCAGTCAGGTAAAACAGTGAGTCCCTGTACAGCAACGTTCCCGGACATGCAGTAACCTCAGGCCCTGTATTTCTCTCCACATCCTCTGGTCACAGTGCAGCAGCAGGAGGGAAAATATATCACAAGGCACAAATGAAATTTTTGGCAGACCTGACAATGGTAGCTACACGGGAATATTAGAACTGATCAGTGACTGTGAAAAGAAAACCAAAAAAACACACCTTCTAAAAGTAAAGGGGGAGCTAAGTAGATTATTTTTATTGGCCTATGGCAGTCTCTAACACAACCCCCAGCCCTCTTAACAAACAAATAATGATTCCATACTAGCTTCCCTTGTAAGGATTGAAATAGTTTGTACACTGTTGGGTAAAATTATAAACAAAAGTTATACTCTTGGTTCTAACATTTGATTGAATTAAGTACTTATTTAGTAGAAGATTGACACCATGACTGTAGTTCAGATAACCTGTGTGTTCACTTTGTATGACTATTCTATCATATTAGAAAAAGAATAGTTAAGACTGTATTTTAGAATACATAAGTTTACATACTTATATGTCACAGTTATGTTTACATATCACCTTATGTGTTCACTGAATCACTGGTTAATATTTACTGTGTTAGTCACTGAGGCACTGTTCAACATTTTAGTGTCTTGTCCACTAAATTACTGAATCTCATTAGATTTACAGCTGTGGCTAAGAGAGTCCACAGTGAATGTATTATCACCACTGGGCTAGAAGTGAGGGGAGTTGCAGGTCACTGGAATTCCAAGGTTAGTGAGATGGAGATTAGATCTGGACGCATGTGGAGGAGAAGGCTTTAAAGGTAGAAACATTATGCACACACACACACTCAGGCAGTATAGGATTTCTTCCCCTTCCTAGGGCGCTGTCTTGGACGATTGGACAGAGAGGACGGACGGACCGAAGGACCAATGGGACAGCACGAGAGGCACCAGATCAACCCACATTGCACATTTCAAAAATGTATAAGAAATTGGGTTACCAGGAGGGTAGGCGTTCCCCTTGTCATGGAGACGAGCTGAACGGGTTCGCTGTTCAAGATGAGCTCATGAAACCAAAGTCAATTATTCACATTTGCATTTGTGTGCTGCAGGAGTGGAATAATCTTTTTGTGCTAAAGTGACTGTCTGTAATTCTCTTGATGTGGCATTTCTGTGTGGAACCCAAGCAATTACTTAAGCCCAGGGGCCCCCTGTCATCCTTAATCCAGCCCCGATGACAGCACAAAGTAGCAACATGCATGTGTAAACACGTAGTACTTTGAGGACAGCTGTGGCAGACTGTGGATTCTCACTGCTTTCATTACACTTTGTACACTTTTTATGCTTAAAAGAAACCAGCTGTACCTGACAGGAGTCTGTTCCTCCTTCCAGGAATCCAGCGCAGATCATCCAGGAGGAGATGAAGCCATGGTAAACCTTTGGCTTGTTGCAGGTCTTAGTGGAGAGGAGTGGTACCATGGCAGAACGCAGAACTTCACTGGTGTCTCCTGGAAAAACCATTTCAGGTGGGACAGTAATATCAAAATTAAAACTGAAAATAGTGACATGTAAATCATCTGTGTCCTGTATTACAGTGAAAACACAGCATATTATTTGATGTGACACCTCATCAATTTTATTCTTTGTTCAAAATAAGCACTCACTGCAACACATTCCAAAAAAGTTGGGACAGTGAAGTGTTTACCACGGTTGTTGGCGGAGCTGTAAAAACGGGTCCCAGAGAGAGGACAAGAAAGGCCCAGGAGACACAGGTCACTAGTGAGGGCAGCGAGGGTAACTGTGTTTTAGGATGACCGTGAGATGACCCTGGTATCCTAGAGTAAACTGAGGGGTTTACTACTCTGTGATTGGGACGGGTGCCCAGTTTGCAGCCCAGACTAAAAGGCGGCACGAGGACACCTGTTGCAGGTATTATTAATTAGAGACAAGTGTCAAGAAGATACGGTTTGCTCATTATTTGTGTTTCATAGCCTCTGTGTCTGGGTTCCAATACAGTGGTGTCTATGGCGCTGGAGGTCAAAGAGAGAAAGGTGGGGTACAGCATATTAGACAAGGAGGTGCATGTAGAGAGTATAAAAGATGCTGCACGAGCTCTGTAGACTGTTTTGCTTCACGAGCCAGAAATGGAGATATTGCCATTTGTGACCTATTTGCAATAAATCCTACGTCTTTCTTCAGACTGAAGAGACTTTGAGTGTTTTTTCAAAAGACAAGGAAATCGTCACTGGTCTGTGCCTGACTAGTACTGGCCTAAAACATAGTTCTGGGTTGACAAATGAAACAGTAGACAAGAAATCACATGTTTTTCATTTTCAGTCACCTTCATTTTCGGTTGCTCCCCACCCAGAGATCCAGCACATGGTGCCCTCTTTAAACTCCTCCCCATGGTTAGGCAGGCAGATGGGCTCCACGAAGCCTAGAGAGGAGAGTTTTAAAGCATCTGCCAGAGTATCAACAATGCATATGTGTGTGGTTTCCTGTTCCTGTGGTAAGTGTATTAAGTTCCTGTTGGCTGTGCGTGCACCGTGCTGTGCTCGCTACCAGATCGTTTATGGAATAAGCTCCCTGCTTAGTTAATGTTCAGATAAACCTAGTAATTTTTAAGTCATAACGTACGCCTGCAATATGCAACACGTTGGCTGCAAAACCAACTCTGGTAACTGGCGACTCCATAGTCACAAACGTGAAGCTAGAGACACCAGATGTGTTCCTTAAAGTACAGACTGCTTCAGACTAAATGTACAAATTGTGCCACTTCTGTTTTTTGTTTTGGAAAAAACCCCATTGTCACTTCTTAGTAAATATGAACACAAGCAATTTCACTGATTAGTGCCAAAAATAAGCCTCAAGTCGTTAGTAAATATCCTCCTCAGATACAATAGAAGACATCTGGACAGTTTTGTACTATGAATGACTATGAACATAGAGCGTGGTGCTGGCATGAAAGAGTCAGCGGGCTCTTGAGAAAAGAACACTAATACCATTGAAAACAAGTGATGTGGCCAGTTTCATCAGTGCAATGTCATAGTCCAGTCCTTTGGGCTGATAGTAAGCGTGGTATATGATCTGGTCTACAGCCAGAGACTGGGCCCTGTGGACCGGCTGCTCCGTCAGCCCAACATAGACCACCCACATGGAGGGATCTGCAAACCTGATGACAGACATGACAGTGACGCAGAATATTCGTGTTAGTATGTACAGTAGTGGCTTTAGAAAAACCCTTCACTTGTAGATTTGATTCTGTTCTGTGAATCTCTGAGAAGAAGATTTTGCCCTTTGCATCCCTCCATCCTGTCAGTCAAATGCAGAGCACACAGAAGATGCCATGACACTAATCACCATGCTGTAGTATGACTGGCTGTTCAGTAAGACAACCTGTTGCCTGCATAGTTGCTTAGTCAATGCTCTGCTGCTTCATGAGTCACAGTCCAGCACATTGTGTGGTTGACAACTAGGAGCCACACGAATGACCATTTGGCAACGGAGGCCCTTTAAATGATTAGTTTTCTGAGATTTGTTCGTTCACACTGACTCATCACTACATGATTTAAGTTGTGTCTGTTGATCAGGCCATCAACAGTTCTGCACAGTCTTGTTCACCTGCTCAGTTGGCTCATCAGTTTTCACATGTGTGTTTATATCGTGGCCATGGAAAATTCTGGATTCTACTTGGTTAGAAGGTGTAAATTAATTTTGCTGGAATGCACAGATTCACTGTTCTACATTTGTAGAATCTGTGGTTACGATGCCTAACCACTGTTCTATTTTGTATAGGCTTCATCTTCTAAGGCTGTTGCTGTTGGGATAATGGTGAAGCAGGTATGACACTGGAACAATGTTATGCACCGTAACAGCCCAGTGCTGAACTCTTCTGTTCATCTGCTCTTCAGCCTCCAGTCCATCTATCCTGGACCTCCTGTTCTGTTCTGTTCCGTTCTTATTCAGCCATCCATGGGCCACCCATCTGAGGCTACTGGTGCCTTGAAGCTCTTATCTGGTCTCTGAACAAATCCTATCTGGTGAAGAAAGCCCAGCAAAGGCTTTTCTTCCTCAGGAAGCTGAAACGCGCTGGTCTCTCCTCTGAGCTGCTCGCAAACTTCTACAGAGCGACAGTAGAGAGCATCCTCTGTCTCAGTGTGACAGTGTGGTACGGGAGCTGCACTGCACAGGACAGAAAGGGCTTGACCCAGGTGGTGAGAACAGCTCAGGGCATCGTAGGGAGTCCTCTTCTGGATCTGGACTCACTATACACT